CCGAACACTCTTCTCCTCTCCTTCTTCTTCTTTCTCTTTTCTTTCTTCTTTCTTCTTCTCTACTTTGACCTAGAATCAACTAGGGTTTATTCACAATGATCTACTGTTTTGGTTTAGGGCCATTCACACAGTTTCAAAAAGCTCCTGTAGTTCTTGGTTTGGATCTAATTAGGAGTCCAGTTATGCCTTAAATCTTGTCCAGATTCAAACAAATCAATTTTAAGGCTTTCTAGGTTTTGTCATCCAGCCCATTTTAGGTCAATATTGTAGAGAAGATTATGTTACTTTGATGAAAAAAGATATTTGTTTGGAGCCTTTGTGCCTTAGTGTTTTCATAGGATGCTTATCATGGTGATTTGAGCAGTACAAGCACTTTTTCATGATAATGAATTAATGCTGATTCTTGTTCAACATGAGGTTAGATCCATCAACACAGTCTTGAATTGACACAGGATAGGAATCAGAACCCAATTTGCACCCAGGAATTGGCTCAGAAAAATGAAGAAACAGACTCGGAAACATTCAAATTTGGAATTTTGCTTCTAAAAATTTCCTCATCCTTTGAATTAATTGCCCATAGCAGATTGCATGAGTAAATCTAAAAGTTTATCATTGTTGACTAGAAACATTTTACAAGAAAATATGAAAACTATTATGCATAGTAGATATTGAATTGTTCATTTATATCAAATAAGTGAAGATAAGAACAAAATCATATATAGAAGTGTCCCCTCAAGAATCCACATAGACCAATTATTAACTGACAGTCAATGATTTGTGGTGCTTATCCATAAAACTAAAGGAGGTACAGATTGCACCCTTGGGTTTCTTGGGAGACTATGGGGAGAGCAGCATCAGGCCAGATCTATTTTTCTTTGTAAAGGTGATTTGATTGTAATATATTATGCTCCTATTATCTACTCCATCAATGGATTCTTTAAGTTATAGATAAAAATAGAGAGGATTGACAGTTGATTTTCTGAAAGAGTAAATGGTCCCATAGGCAGCTAACTTGAGGCATATGCAGTATATGGAAGCAAGTTTGGATAGAATGGCACTATGGAATGGGAATTCTGTTGCCAACCCACAAACAGAGTGGTAACACTAGTTGGATAAGGAAGATAAACTTAGAGCCACAAATAAGAAATAAGTTGCAATCCTTGGTGAAAATTAAAGATATTATTTCCTCTCTTGGAGATGAAGTTTCCAGCACTACTCTAAGATACATGAGAGCAGGTCAGCAAATAATCAAAATCAATACAGAAGTTCTATAAAATGCTATAGGCATCCATGGCAACAGTAACAGATATACCATGAAAAAAAATTAAAGGTAGATTGATTCTTTATAATAATAAGAAAGAGAAAATATACCAGTTATAGCTCTGACTGTTTCACTAGAAGCATACTCCTGGATGGTATGGTTAGAGAAAACCAATTTAATAAACATTGCTGCCTGAACTGATGTATCCGGATCACTTGAACCAATAAGGTCGAGTATAACCTGTACTCCACCAGCTTCTGCAACAGCTCTTTTGTTTGATCGACTGTACATTACAAGGTTTTGCAGGGCACATATAGCTACAACTTTCATTTCTTCAGTAGGTTGGTCTTCAAGAAGATTTACTAGAGCTCGACAAGCTGAAACAGCATCTGTACTTCGAGCAAGAGCCTCATTCTGGAATAGGTCACCAAGAGCCAAGCTTGCTAGTAACCTTGCTTGCTGGGTTTGAGTTTGTGGATCCAAAAGGTATTGTGACAATGGTGCAATTGCAGATTTAGCAGCTTTTGTTTCTCTAATTTTCACATTATTTAGCAATACTTCCAGCAGTCTTGCTGCAGTTTCTTCACACTGATGGCACCTAAGAAGTTCCAAAAGTGCCTCTACAGCACCACTTTCAGCCATAGCTTCAGCACTGGAAGAATCATCACTTTCCAGCACAAGTAGAGCATTTAATGCACCAACAACTGTGGTTTCAGTTCCAGAACGAAGCAATCGTACCAATAATGCAATGGGTACCTCCAAGTAAAACTCAGAACTGAACTGCAAAATACTGGCTAAAACAGAAGCAGCAGACTCCCACAAGGCATGAGGCAACGGAGGATCAGTTTGCAGTATCACTTTGGAAAGCTCATTGACACCACCTTCTTTTGCAATCTCATTTGGCCAAATTAACGCAATAGCAACAAGAGCCTTTATAGCCCTCTGCTGCAAAATGGGTATACCAGACCCTAGGACTCGTATTAATGGGCCAATAGTTTGTTGTGTTATCAAGTTCTTCTGAAGATGTTCCTCCAAGAGCAGATGTGAGAGAAGCTCAGCTGCTAGTTGTTGCACAGCTGGAGTAAGAGATTCCAACAAAGGGATAAGTGGTTCAATAGCTTGATTAGGAGTCAAATTATAGTCTGCTCGGCACTGGGGGTGTTCCAAAATATTAACAAGTACCTGTAAAACACTGTGCTGTCCATCAGGACCAAATTCTGGTCTTGATAACAACAGGAAAAGGGGCTCAACCACTTTGGCTGTAGATGGGCTCTTAGCAATACCTGTATTATTAGTCAATATCCGAAGCAATTCTGCAAATGCAGTGCAAAGAAAGTCAGGTGCTTCATGGAGGATATCAAGTATGCTCTCAATGACTCCAGCTTTCACCATTTCCATCTTACACGCTGGTCTATCCTTTCCTAACTTCACAAGAGCTTTTGATATAGATTCATGAAGTGTGTAATTCCTACCAAACAGAAGGCCAACAAGAGGAATTACTGCACCATGAGCAGCAACTAATTCGGCCAGTTGCTCATCATCCAACAGTTTATCCAGTGCACGAACCACTGAGTGATGAGCAGGACTAAACTCAGTAACAAGAAGAGAGACCAGAGGCTCAACACAGCGAGCTGCAGCCATTGTGGACCTAATTCTTGTGTTGCCAAAAAGGACACAACACAACTCAGCAGCATCCCCTTTCAGTTCCATTGAACAATTTGATGAAAGGATCCTGCAAAGAACATCCACCGCATTCATTTCAACATCTGCAACAGCTAAGGCTCTTGATGGACTTTCACACAATAACCTAACGAGTGCACCGATAGCAGCATGTTGCTCCTTTTCCATGCCAGTGTTAAGAATCTCTACAAGGGGCTTAATAGCTTGCCGAGCAGTCTCTGCATTTCTAATATGATCTGAGGAAAATAGGCTATCCAATGCTTTGGCAGCACTATACCTTGCCCCTCTTCCACCTAGACGTAAGACTGCTACAAGCTGACTAATAGCACCAAATGCAGAATCATGCTTTCGTATTTCCACACTTCCAAATAGAATCCCCAATAACTCTGTGGCAGCTTCCTCTGTTGCATCTTGTGGACCAAGTGAAAGATATTTGGTCAGTGCCTCTAAGGCACCAGACTCAACCATCATGATCTTGTTTGAGGGACTGTCTTTTGCTAGTTGCGTCAAGAGTCCAAGAGCTAGAAAAGGTGCACCAGGTCGATCTGGAATTGGTTTCAGCAAATCAACAAGTGAAGGTATTGCTTTCCGAGAAGTAGCACCAACTCTAATGTCATCAACTCTAAACAACCTCTCTAGAGCAACCTGATCTGGATTGCGCACCAAAGAAAACTCCTCTGACAATTCCAAAAGGTCACATATATCAACATCGGCACAGCCAAGTAAGGAAATAAACCCACCTGCCGCCCCTGAATTTGCAACAGCTAGAAGAGTCCCTCTGCTACCATTACAGACAAGACTAGCCAGTGCTTGTGCTGCAAAATATCTGTTTGCTGACTCCTCTGACTTCAACATGTTTGCGAGTACAGGGACACATCTCATAGTTGCATGTGCCCGTATAATTTCTCTGTCTTGAAACAAAATTGTAAGCAACAAAGCATAAACCCACGTACTGCTATCTTCTATGGTGTCATTCTGTACAAAATTATATGGATTGGGTGAATAGAAGCATTGGGAATTATATCAGAAAAATGCAACATCAAAAATAATAGTGAGAAATGCATAAAAAGTAATCAACTATTACAAAAACAAAATAAACAATGAAGAAGAAAGGGTAGAATGTTAATGAATGGTTAAGGTCTGATCATAAAAGCCTAAAAAAAGAACTATGATTCACCAACCACCACATATCTCATCAATGCATGCACAACTCATACTATAACAAATAAATTGCAGTTTGTGTGAAATACCTGAATAGCTTGTGGCAAACACTGAGAGATCTTGTCTGTAAGAACATCAAGTGCTCCAGCCTCCATAATTGCAGTTTTACTTCTATCATCATGACACGCAAGGACAGAAAGCAGCCAAATAGCTAATTTGTCACCAGAAATAACTGTTGTGCTACTTTCACTTTCACTAGTCCTACTTTGTTCCTTAGTATGCCTATGAATGCTTATCTCCCTGCTTTCACTGTCATCCTGATGCAGTGAGGGGGATGCTTGCACCAAACTGAGCATCTCAACAAGAGATTGGATGAGATATACACAGGAGTTTGACTCATTCAAAACTTCAATGACTCTTTGGTGGTGCACTTTCGTAGCACAAATAAGAAGTGCAGTTCCTCCGACTTTTACCTTTATGTTTTTGGAACTAATTACCCTTCTTGCGATTGATGATATACAACCTAAGGTACTGGGAATTGTATTTCCAAGGACAACAGGCTGATCATGGCAGAGCGTTGACAAAATTTCTATAGCTTTGTCCTGCAACAATGGTGTTGCATCAGCTATGCATGAAACTATTGGGGCTATAGTGTGTGGAAATTCAGCCAGTACAGCCCAAGCAGGTTTTGTATTTGCAGTAGCTCCTTTTGACCTTGACAACAAAGCAAGTGCATCAAGTGCTTCCAATGTGGCAGAAGATTCAGTATTAGCAGACTCCAGAAGAGAAACTAAGGCAAGAACTGTCCCAGCACGATTTACACAATCGGAAATTGCGAAGTCCATTGAGCGACATTGGAGGAGACGAGCAATTGCTGCTGCAGCATGGGTTCTTCCATCGATTGTCCCTTCTCGCAGCACTCTTGTAGCAGGAAAAATTATCTCTTCAGGAACTGCTTGGCCTGAGACATCATTATCCAAAAGAAGATTAGCCAATGCCCTTGTTGCTTGTTCTGCAACTTCCAGAATTGAAGAGTTAGCAAGAACAATTAATGGAGACAATGCATCTCTAGCAACAGCAGCCACATCCCGGTTTTGTTTAATTGAAAGGAAAATGGCAGCAAGGCAGCATGAAGATTCTACTAATATCTTTTCAGAGTCTACATTTAACAACTTCATGGCCGACCAGAGAGTCTTAACAGCAATACTACTTTCACGCAAGTCTTTCCGGAGATAAAAGAGTGCAGCTAGAACTGATGCAGATTTGGCTTGTGTTTCTTCCCTTGTAGAACCCAAAATTTTAATTATTGTTTCAAATGCATCATTTGCAGCACTTCCTTGATGTAATATATCCTTAAGAGGAGCCACTGAAAGCAAACTTTTCAGGGCATCCAAAACATAAACCTTAGATTCTGGTAGGTCACTGGTTAGCAAGGCAGTTAGTTGGCTGATTGTCCCAGTATCAGATTTGTGGATAAGATGGTTCAATGTCTTTGCTGCAATCTCTTTCCCATTCTGGCTTCCATTTTTTAGTAGCCATAATAAAGAAGGAACAGCATCAGCACTCTCAACACAAGCCCGTATATCTTCACTGTGGTTGCAGAGGTTTCCCAGGATTGTTGCAGAATCTTCCTTGGCTTTCATAGACCCTGTCTCTAGAATCTGAACAAGTGGGGGTATGCCTCCAGCAGCAGTTATGGCCCATTTACTCTCATCATTTTCATTTGATAAAAGACAGAGCAAAGCAACTGCACATTCCTGTTGTTGCTCTGAGGAAAGACCAAGAAGGGATATTAACAGCTGGATCCCCTCCCGACCTTGAAGAGCACGCCATAGACTGCCCTCATTGTTGCAAAGTAAGAGAAGGGACCTTACAAGCTCATCCTGTACCTCATTTGTTGTCATTGTGATCAAACCAACAAGTAAACGCTTTGCATCAGAATTTACGAGTCTCTTTGAGAGAATAGCATTTGCATACAAGCTGGCTAGTGCTTCAATGATACGTTCCTGTACAAGAAATGGCAATCGAGGTTTAAACTGCTTAACCAATATCTGCTCAATAACAAAGGGGTCCGATGCTCTAATTGATTCTGCTTTGCTATCATATATCATAAGAGCTGAAGCTAATGCCCCTAGTGTGTCAGCAATCTGAGCAGGCGAAGTACATGACTCAAGACTTTCACCAAGACTAGAGATGACGGACGACAAACCACCAGATATATTTGCTAGAGCACACATAGCATTCTCCTGTAATGCTTGGGCACACTCACCTTGCATGAATTCTTTTGATGGAGCTATTGTTGCATTTATCAAAGCAGGTATTCCATTAAAATTTGCTATCTCACGCCTTGCTTCTTTGCACTGAACAGAGAGGGATTTAAGAGCACCCGCAGCTTCTGCTCTAACAGAGGCTTCATTACCAGGTCCTAATAGCTTGAGTAATTGTTTAGTGGCTTCTGCACCTAAGATTCTAGAACACACAGATGAATCCTCCATCATCATACATGCAAGAAGAAAGCAAACATTTGCCTGGGTACTTGATTGTCCAATTGTGAGCAATTTCACAAGTATATCGACTCCTCCTGCTTCTATTGTTGCAGACCAGAACCCCTCAGTGCTGTTAGACAGATTTCTCAAAGCTCCAGTTAGAAGGTTATCAACAAAATTTCCAGCCTTAAGCCCATTTTCTAGTTGCTCCCAAAGCACAGGAACAACTCCTTCAGTTGAAAAAATCTTTGATCCAACATGATCCTTAGCCCCACCTTGAGATACAGCATAAATAGCCTTTGCAGCTGCAATTTGTCCTTCTGCAGAACTGGATCTAAGGAGAGAAAGCAATGGTGGAATGCATCCCCCAAGCAAGACTTTTATCCGCAGTTCATCCTCTTTACAAAGAGAGCCTAAAACAGTAGCAGCCTGCAGCTTCACTCCAAGTGATCCTGATCTGAGAAGAGAAACAAGTATAGGAACTGCCTGAGAATGAGATCCAACTGCACTGAAAGCATTGTCGCGTGTATCAATAAGGTCCAACAATAGCTTCAATAAGCTCTCTTTCTCTTGTACAGTTGAAGAACTCCTCCGTAATTGCTCAATGCATTGGGCAACACTTGCTAATGTCCCATCTGGATCCTCCATGGTTCCACGATCCCTGCAGGAAATTGCAAGGATAAGATCTCAAATCTATATTTATCCAAAAAAAAAAGTATGTTGCTTGTTGCATCCAAGCAAGAAAATGGAACCACACTAGAATGCTCCAGATTGCATGTTGAAGCTTGCTTGCAAAAAGTAGTATGAGCATCTATTTGTATTAACATAACTACCTTAAGCTAGATATCATAAGTTTGATCTGATTATGGGAAAGAAAACAGATTAAGACTATCATCTAAAATACTTGATAAAGCATAAGCTTAAAGGGATTTTTTTCAGAAAAACAATTGAATAATCATTAATTAATGGATCTATTCAATTTAATATAGGATGATAGAGAAGGTACAACAAAAGTCCATAGTTTCATAAACTTAAAGATGCATATGCACCAGAGAAAATTTAGTTATTCCAAAACATGAATTGGGAAACTTCCTTTAGGGCTACAAGATACTTCCGAGTATAGTGATTCCTTTGGTGAGATTACTGTGCACAACTGTACGAAGAAAGTTAGGGTAAGAAGTATGGAATTACCTGGGAAAGGTAGAGGCCTAGAGGGGCAAGGATCAATGTTCAGAATTATGATACAAGGACTTATACCTATTTATTGGTTACAAGTAAGCTACATAGCCTGTAAAGCATCCCAAACATCTTCTCATAACAGAGAAGTGGTTAAGTTTGACACTTAGATGGCTAGCCACTAGAAAGATATCTGTGTTTGGTAGATGGTGGTTTTTGTTGGTTACAATATATGCAACAAGGACACTAAAAAGGTCATCATCCATTTCAAAAAATATGGCTGTCAGACACATTTTCATATTTGCGTGTTAAATATAGGATGGAGTGGTCCTTGTTCATTGTCCAATCATATGCTTCAACTTGATAACAAAAGAAAGTGAAGAAATATCTTAACATCCATGATTTAAACTGATAAAAGCTTCAATGCTGCATTTATTTTACATAGGTAGTACAAGCATACGTTAATAAGCAGAAGATGCAAACAAGAATGTTTCAGAATTATCCAAATTGGAAATGTTACTTTCTAGGAGAACTTTTTACTTACCTCAAGCCAGCCTTAATGCTTAAGTGTGGAGTTGGAGTCTCCAAGTCTTGATGTTTTGTGTCCCCATTTCTTTCCTGTTACCATAAGAAAGATAGAAGATGCAATAATTACCAGACAAAAATAGTGAAATTAATTCTGAACCAGAATGCAAGTACATATGGTGATTGCTATAAGAAAACATAAGAACTAAGATGGAAAAATCATAAGGAAGAAGTAGGAAAAATGCACTTACACAATAAATAAATACAATGTGACTAATCATAGGGAAGAAGATGGAAAATAAAAACTTACTGACATGGTGAGTTTTAGACATTTTGAAAAGTTGTAGCGAGTTTAAGAGAAATGTTGAAAACTCATGGTGAGTTTTTGACAACTTCCCTTAAATTATTAGTGCTTAAATAATTTCTTATTACTTCTACCCATATCCTATTTTGGTCTACCCTGAGCTCTTCTAGCCCCTTCAGCGTGTAACAAATTACTTCTTCTAACTAGTGCAGTTGGTGGTCTTCTATGCATGTGCCCAAACCATCTTAGTCTTCTCTCTCTCTCATTTTATCACTTATTGGAGCTACACCTAGGTTAACCTCATTTCTAATCCTATCCTTTCTAGTTTTTCCACTCATCCATCTTAGCATTCGCATTTCTGCCACATTCATTTCTGGGACATGTTTTTTCTTGGCTGCCCAACACTTTGCTCCATAAAACATAGCAGGCCTCACAATTCTTTTATAAAATTTTCCTTTTAATCTAAGTGGTATTCGCCTATCACATAAAAGTCCTGATGCACCCCTCCATTTTTCCCATCCTGCACTAATTCTTTGGGTGACATCCTCCTCAATCTCCCCCTTGTTATGGAGGAACCATATAGCTTATAGGGACTGGTTGCAATGGCAAGCCATGCTTAAAAAAAGAATATATGAGATGGCATGAAATGTCACTTGTCAGGTATGATATCCATGTAACCACATATGAGCTGATTTTCAGAAATTGAAATATGCTTTCTCACCCATTCAGGACACATGCTCTTTCAGAGTAGCAACCCAAACAAATAAGGAGTCCCCCAGAATTCATTTGCAGCAGAGCCCCATCATTTCCATACTAGAAAACTAGAAACAAATAGAAGCTGAAACTTTGAGACCAATATACTATATAACATACAAGGGTAACAAGCCCAGTCAAAGTCTGGCAGTAGAGAACCAAACAGCAAAAGGAGGCAAAGGACATACATTTCGGAGACCTACACCCAGTCCCATTTCATAAGAATCTATGAAGGCTAGTTGAGCTTAGCACTCAAATAAAGCATTCCAGTCTACCATTTAGCTAGAATAAAATATCAAAAAGCAAAAGTAAGTACCACATCATTAGTTCCATGGCTGCTGCCATTGCTGGTAGCAATCCTCCAAGCCAGTGTCGTAGCCATCTTTGCAGCGGTCCTGGACCTCTAAATAAACCAATCCTGAACGCTGCTCTCTTCCAGATCTACTGTGGAGATATCATCAAATAAAGAAGAAGAAAAGAAGAGCCTCCTGCAAATCAAGAAATCGAGATATTAAATAAAAGAAAAACAGACACGGAAATGCATAACAAATGCTAATCGCTACTCGCTAGAAAACCCAAAGATCACGAGACTAAAAGAAATGAATCTAACCAAGACGAATTCGGTCGATCTCTAAAACCACAGTGACAGAATAGGCAACAGCAGCAAAATTGGGAGTAAGAAAATAGCAGATCCGGAGCAATGAGCAAGCATTTTACAGATATTTAAGAATCCACGTCAACATCAATTCAAAAAGAATTAAATTCGCCTATATTCAGTGCCGCTACCCTAGAGAAACAACAAGCCAATCACCCTATCCCAGAATTTTCGAAATCCATATGAAATCTCAGAAAATTCGACAGAGATCCAATGATTTCCACATAACTTATAAAACAAGCCACTAGATGGACTGTTCAGCAACTCAATATCCATATTTTAACCACTCTGAACTCAATGTTCCGACTTTTCCACTCAACAACTGAAAAACGCAATGGATTTGAAAGAATACTACTCAAACCTCCCAAACAAAACATTTAGAATATCTACATCTCCCAACACTAAAATGCGAAGCCATACTGGCTCGACAACTCAATCTCCGCAAAACAAGAGAAAATTATAATAAGAAATGGAAAATCTTAGTAAAACAGCCAGATCGGTTTCAGTCAACACTGTACAGAAATGAATCTCACGAAGGCTGTGCATCTTAAAAGTTCAGAGAACGTAAACAAATACGAAAAATTCACATTCCGAATTCTAATCAAATGCGAGCATTAAACGAGAGATAAGACAGAGAATCGAGGTGCGCCGAATCTATAGATTATAGAAAGAAAGATCTAAGGCTTGGCATTACAGCGATTGCTCTGTCTCTCACCTTCTGAGACTTTTCTTCCCAATGGATGGAAAGCAAGGTTTCTTTAATGCATGGATTTCGTTGCAGAGAATTCTAAGGAGGAGTGAGGAGACTGAGTGTGTTCAAGACTTCGTATAGAAGATTAGCACCGGCCTTTTTCCCCGGTCTGGACGAGGACGAGGCTGATGTAATGTAATTTGCCAGATTTTTTTTTTGTATATATTTGTTAATATTTTTTTTAATGGATGATTAGTTAAGTGTGAAGTCTTTTTGTGCGGTATTGCAAATCATGGAAGAAGCCTTTGCTCTCCATTAGACCGCCGACAAATTCAAGACGCATCTTCACGGCTTGGCTCATTTTAGCAAGTTCACTCCACGGCCACGCACGAGCCGCCGAGACAGTAGTTAAACGTTATTCTTTTTGGGTAAATGGCAGACACCCACTCTATTTTGAGGGTCACCACACTTAGCCCCCTGCCGTTACCATTCCGTCACTTAATTGGATATTGTCATTTAATTGTCATCTGTGGGTTTATAACATAGTTTTGAAGCCGGACCGGACCAGATGGACGGACTGGTTGACTTGGGAACCAGTCATGGCTTCGGGTCTGGTTTTGGACCCCAAAACCATCCAACCAGGGTTTGAATAAAACAACCAAACCGTTTGACCTAGGAATCGATGGCCAAAATGGTTTAATTTCCAGATCGGATTTTAAAACCATGATTTATACATCTTTAAATGAAAAACTCTATCATATCGGAAAGACATGGTACTACAACAAATTTGACCAATCAAAGCACCCCCATGAATTTTATAAATACCACCTGATTGATCACATCTTTGATACTTTTCCGTTATCATGTCTTTTCAATATCATAGTTGAACCTTTTTAAAATATCAAGTTATTATGTTATTTTTAAAATCATTTTGTTCTTTGACTTGGACCCTGTTTGGATAGATTTTTCAAAAGTACAAAAGTACGAAAAACACCATATCGTGTTTGGATGGCATACTTCCTACTTTGGCTTTTATACTTTTTAAAAACACGAATTCGACTTTTATTCTCCATGCTTGGGGAAGTTTTGCTTCTATTTCGTGTGACCACCCTTCAGATAAAACCCCTTAATTGAGACTTCCCCATTCGTCTATTGTCTTCAAGTCCTAACCTCTTTGCCATCATGGGTTCTTGCTCCGCCATCGCCCATCTCCAACCCCATTGCCACCGAAAATTGCCAGTGAAAGCATAGTCCTCACTAGAATCACAAGCATGGATCCCAGTTTCATATTTTTGCCCTTTCTTTTAATGTTTTCTCCATTTCATGCAATATCTTCAAGCTTAATGGTATGTTTATTACATGTTTACTGCCACTGGAATCACTGTTATTGATTTCTTCATTTCCTAAACTATTATTGAAGCTTAATGGAATGTTTTTATAGCTTGTTTACTGTAATGTTATATATAGCATTATACTTGTACAAAACCAAAAATTAACTGGAGTGTTATAGCTATAATACCAATATAATGGAATGTTTATTACTTGTCCATCAACTGTCTCTATCGATGATCTGTGATTCCCCTATTTTGGCATTCCCATTATTGATTGTTGTGGAGGGTACTATTTGTGTTTTTCATATGTCATTTTCTTTCCTATATAGTGAAGATGATCATGGTTTTCTTGACATGTGTACTGTGGAGAGAGTTTTTTCTGGTTTCCTCAACATTAAACACGAACCATTGCAATTGAGAGCTTGTTGTCTAATGTTATAGTGGTTTATGGCAATCCCTTTCCTATACAGTTTTGCTTATGCATTTGTTTACATAACAAACCTAATATTACTCTTGACTTATACTTGTTGCGGCCATTGATCTATTTGTCTACATCTAAATACTTGTATATTGGTGATTGCCATTGAATGCCCATATTACTCCACTGTTATTGCTTGTATACATCCACGTATGCCCATATTACTACTGTTGTGGCCATTGATCTGTTTGTATGCATCTAAATACCTAATTACCTATATGTTGATGATTGCCATTGATCTGTTTGTCTGTCACTAAATGTCCATATTAATCCAATGTTAATACCTATGTTTTGATGGTTGTTGATGTATACATCCCTCAATGTTGGAGCTTTTATTGCATATGCATTCATGATATGAATGCTTGTTGTTTTTGGTTGATCTGTATGAGTTCTTATTATGGTGGAAAACATGATCCATGGGAATCCATACTTAGCACAAACGGCTGATCCCATTTTTTTTCCCTTTATTTGTAGCTATCAATTGGAAAATTTGAAACCAACTTGTAAAGTATAGATCCATCATTTGTCATTTATCTTTTTTTTTCTATGTTTTCATCTTTCATTCACGATATAATGTATGTGTATTTATTTCTCTCTCTCTCTCTCTCTCTCTCTATCTATCTATCTATCTATCTATCTATCTATATATATATATATAGAAACAAAAACATGAGCACTAGTCAGATATCAGTCCCACCATTTGAAGAAGCTCCTATGAGTCCTGCCAACTTGACTACAGAGCTTGAAAACATTTTCATTGACATTATGGTGGATCAAGTGAAGGGGATGGTCAGAACACAATGACTTTTAATATGAATGCATGGAAGACCATAATGCAAGAGTACTATTTGGCAACTGGGTTGAAGTACGAAATTAAGTAATTTAGGAATAAATTCAATGGACTAAGGATAAGGTATTGAGCATTAAGAAGTTGAAGGAGCATACTGGGTTGGGTTGGAATGAAAGGACAAAGTCAATCACTTCTGCTGACAATGTGTGGGAGGAATATGTTAAGGTATAAACCCTACCCTCAATGAAAATTCTATACTTTTGTGGGTTTAGTAGGATATTCTTCTTCAATTATTAATAATATGCTTTGCCACTATTTAGGTGAATCTTAATGCAAAGAGATTTAAGAAACATGGGTGCCCCAAATTTGCTAGTCTTGACTTGATTTTTGGCGATACCACAACTTCTGGATCAGCTGCAACTTCACAAGCATGGGTGTGGTGTCAAGTGATGATGAAAATGAGGTAAAGGAACAATCTGCTCTGCAGACTCCTCACCAAAACAATAACACCCCAATTAGAGATTTTACTGATGGTGATGATGACCCATTCTTACACTCATCTACTACCTGAGCTACCATAAAGGAAAAGAAGTAGCAAACCCGTGAAGTCTCCAATGCAATGAAAGACATTGCTAGTGCATATCATAGGAGGATTGATCGTTTAGTTGCACGTGACAGCAATCGTGCTGAGTACAATATGGGAAAATGCATCCAAATTTTGAATGAGATGGAGGATTTGAGCATGAATGAGATTGTCAAAGCAACTAGGTTGTTCCAAAGCCAGGCATTTATTAATCTTCTAGGGGCACGTAGGAAGGAGTGGTTGATAGGGATGATTCAAAGGGGAGACTGAGGGTGGATAGCTAGGGAAATTGACTGGATAAACACTGACTTATGCTGATGGACCTTATGTTTTTTTGTTTGTTTTATGATGAGAACATATCGGATCCTTTCATTTTGGTTTTTTGGAGGATTTGAAACCTTATGCTTATGACTTTTGTGTTGGTGATGGAACTTATGTGTTTTTCTTTTTTTTTTTTTTTTTTGCCTTACAACTTATATGGGAATATGTTGGATCCTTTCACTATTATTGTGTGTGTGTGTGTGTGTGTGTGTGTGTGTGTGTGTGTGTCTGTGCATGTTTATTCTATATAGCATAATGATTGTCATGGATTCAAACATGATGAATATATTCTAGCTTTAATTCTGTTGTAACTTAAACATGTCTGAAAACACTGAACCTGACTCACATGCAAGTTCAAGTAGTGAAAGAGGCACTGATAATGCATTAGAGGATAATAATGTTTGTGATACTAGAAACAATGATGATGAACTTTGGCATGATGAAGAGGAAGATGATGTTGTCATATTTACTGTTATGGTTGGTGCTGAGTATTATGTGAAGAGAAATCTGCATAGGATACCCTATAGAGATGATAGTTTGACAGGGGCAAAATACATTCACAATGTCTTACAAGGTAATCTAAATAGATGTCTAGACCTATTTAGGATGGATATAAATATATTTATAAGACTGTGCAATGAGTTAAGAGGGAGGGGACTCAGAGACACCCAGTTTATAAGTGTGGAGGAGCAACATGCTATATTTATGTCAACTATCGGGCACCGCAACTCAAACCACTCAGTTGCTGATAGGTTTCAGCATTCATGGGAAACAATCTCTCATCACTTCATTTCTATGTTGAAAGCTATGGCTGGATTATCAAAACATTACATAAGGAGTCCTAACATGAGTGTCATCCCAAAGGGAATCCAGTCTAATCCATAGTTTTATCCATTCTTCAAGGTACCCATGATGTCTTTCTCAATCATTTTATGAATTACATACAACCTCAATGTGCTCAATTATTGCTTATACGTATGCATGACTGCATTGGTGCAATAGATAGCACCTATATACATGCACATGTCCTAATAGACAAGCATATTCCAATCCGTGGTAAAAGCTCCACTACCACTCAAAATGTCGTGTGCCTGTACATTCAATATGTTGTTCACATTTGTCTATGCTAGATGGGAAGGGAGTGCTCATAATTTTAGGATTCTCCTAGAAGCAGTTCAAGATCCATCACAAAATTTTCCTCGCCCACCATCCGGTATAGGATCATCATTTCCCCTCCATTTGGACACCTCTTGTATTTTTGTTTTTTTTCCCATGACAAATGGTGCATGTGATCTTACAAATTCATGAAATTGTCAATAATGTAGGCAAGTACTACGTGGTTGATTCTGGTTATACAAGCATGGATGGATTCTTATGTTCTTACCAGGGGCGGAGCCAGGGGTGGCAGAGGGGAGCCATGCCCCCCCCCCCCTATGCCTTCAAAATTCCCATAAAATCTATTTAAGTTCCACTTATATTTTAGCCCCCTTACCCATGTTTCCTAGCTTTTGGCCCCCCTATCCATGTTTTCTAGGTTTTGACCCCCCTTAATAAAAAATCCTAGCTCCGCCCGATTCTTACCGAGGAGAACGATACCATTTATCTAACTTTAGAGGCTGGGGTACCTCTAGAACTACTAGAGAATATTTCAACCGCTCACACTTTCAGCTTCGGAATGTTATAGAACAATGTTTTGGCATGCA